GATTCTCTCGTTAGTTGTGTTAAAATCAATATCGACAAAAATATTTATTTACTAATTTTTTATATTTTCTTGGTAATATAACATCTGGTGGTGTTGTTTCAGGTAAAATAATTAAAAATCCAAGTACATCATTTTCACAATAACCTTCATTCGAATAATGTAAACCACAAGCTTCATGAAATATTGTTCCTTTTCTTGAACGCCATGAATAACCAAATTTATCTGTACCAATTGGTGTTTGTAAATTAGCTAAATGTTGTGCCCAACCAATACGTGTTGCTGTATCTGAAGGCATTGATGTTATAGTTACTTCATAGTACCATGCACCATGAGATACAGCTAATAATAATAATAATACTTGAAAACGTTTAGTATAAATGATAAAAAACTTACAATGAGTTGATCGAACAGAACAATAACCTTTATCACCGGTGACTGTTAAACGATCATCATTTAATTTTAATTGTTGAGCTAAATTGTAAAAAAAAAGATGTTTGTTTGTTTTATTTTTTCTTGATGAAATTTACCTCGATCATTTAATGATAATAAACATTCATTTTCAATAAATGTTCGATATAAATGTCCCGGTATTGGTTTTCCTATTATATTATTCAAATTTGATTTGATAAAAGAAATTTAATTAAAAATTTAAACTTACCAGCCCATACTTCAGTTTCATCAAATTTTTGTCGAAATGGTGAATGTGGATCTGGTTCAGCTAAATGATATCTATAAAATAAGAAAATCTTCAAAATCAATACATATATATTTTTTTTTCCTACAAACCTATATCCTTCTTTATTAAATGGATATTCAGGTGGAAAACTTTTTGGTATTAATCTTTCTAATTTAGGTATATCACCACGTCTTTTAGTATTCATTGAATTTTCATTTGCTAATTTTCGTTTACTTGTTCGACGTGTTACTTCACTATTAGTTAATGATATTACACTATTAGCTGATGATGAACCATGAAATATTCCATTACCAGATTGATTTATTTGTAATGGTATAATATTTGATGATGATAAAATAGGATTTATTGTATTAGATGTATTTGGAGATTGATCACGAACAATATTTGGATTCATTATTTCATAAATTTTTTCATTAATTGGACCTATTTTATCAAGAGATTGTTCACGTAATGCAATCATTAATTCACCAGCTATATCCGATGAAACAAAAAGATCTTCACGACCCTAAATAATTTTTTAAACAAAAAATTTTATTCTATTCAATCAAATTTTTTATTTATTATGACAGTGTTTGTCACTTTTCGAATTAAAAATTTTCAGATCTTGAATCAATCTCTAATGGGCTTCATTTTTTTTAATACTTAGCTATCTATAAAATTTCTTTAACAAGAATAATCAAATAGTAAAATTATTTTATAAGAATAATTTTGATTAATATCTCAAAACTACAACGAAATATTTCATCCTTTAGAATTTTTCTAAATATAAAAAAAACAAAAATTATTTTACCAATGCTTTATAAACTGATGCATGTAAAGTTGGTTTATTTTTTTTTTGTGAAAAAGTTAATAAATCCCATTTTTCATCAATAAATGGTAATATTTCCTAAATCATAATTAATTAACAAAAAAAAACAAATTAATAACAATCAATCAAAAAGTAATCATATACTCGATCTCTTGAAAAAAATGTTTGTGATGATGATTGTTGAGTTAAATTAGCTAATACAGTCGTACATAATTGATTGAATGCTAAAAAAACAAAAAAAAAAAAAAGGAAATTTTTAAATATTTCTTTCACTATTGAAACATACTTGCAGTTTTTTTTATAAATTGTTCTTCTGGTTTATTTGGTGAACAATCTTTACATAAAAAGTGATAATTTGTCATAAATGGAAGCATTGGTCTAATGAAATGAATAGAAAACAAAAAAAAAAAAGATATTAGAATAACAAAATTATTTTTAAATATACCCAGTTGTTATTGAAATACAATCATGATGACAAAATCGAAGACAAAGACAGCATTGAACTTCAACTTTAGATAAATCTCTATCAGTACCACTAGAAAATAAAATTGAAGATGTTCGAAATCGATTTTATTTTTATTTATAGATTTACAAACCAATAACAAGTTGGTGGTTTAGTTGCCATTTCAATATCGTTTGGCATCGGTAAATTAAAACGAGATTAAAGAAATGAAATAAAGTTTATAATGAATGACAGTTTTCAATAACCAATCAAATTTAATGCAATCATTTTAGAGGCTAGTTGTCTCTAGTGTTTAATAACAGAATAGTAATACAGTGTACTGTCGAAAGGAATAGAATTGGCCCGTAAAAGACACGATAGTTGCTTCTTCGAAAAAAAGAATGATAGATCTATCAATCACTAATCACATTTTGAATTGTTTAACTTTGTACATTCTTTTAATTGATATTCAGATTCAATGTATACTAATATTTTCAAAGGCTAAAACCTTAATAGAGCTACCTCTTTTTATGAACATGAAAATTTCAGCTTCCAGACTTCAAAATTCTCATATGATGATGAATATTTCTCACTTAGAAAATGCTTAGTACTTTTTGGTTTTTTTTCGGTATCAGTTTGTATATGGAAAAAAGTACCCAATTGTCCTCATTTCTTCGGCATACTATGCTTGATTGAACTAAAAGGTTTATTTGCAGATGTTAGACAGTATTTGGGATGTCCAAGTTTTTATTTTGAGATTGTGGTTATCTTAGCAACTAACACTGCCAAAAATAAAATATTATTTGACTCTGATAAATAAGAAGCAATGTAATCTTTTTGTGTTTATCTATGTATCGTTGTGTATGGATAAACAGGATATAGATAATTATTTTTAATCAAAGTGATATATCCCGTATGAATTTAATCATTACTACTGAATCAGTGATAAAAACATAGAGATTGTTAGATGTTTCATTATTTTGAGTAACATTATTACATGAGTAGGTCTAAAAAGAAAAGTTAATTTTATTCTCATTCAGCTATTTAATACAAAGTTGTAATTATGATTTAAATGAAAAAATGAATTAGTAATGTAATGAAGAAAAAAAAGATAAGCAAATAAATAATACAGGATGATCCAAAAATCTTGGTCTTGCTTGGAAAAATCGTTCGTTGTCTCTAATGACAAATTCAAGAATGCTCAAAATTGAACGTCTAATCCCTTGTAACTAGACAAATATTATCCTAAATTTTCAGATTTCTAACCCTTATTATAGAAAAGATTTATAAGTTCGTATGATAGAGAAGTTTGTTTTTGTTACATGAAAAAAAAAAAGAACAGAAAAAGTAAACAAAAAAAAGACCAAAATGAGGAAATATTCAGAGAATTATAAGGAATAGAAGTATATCTTCAGATTAATTAAATGTCTATAGTATATTTATTTAAATATCATTAACTCTCATTTGATCTATATTAGTATATGATCATTGTCCATCATTTAATATCAACAAAATATTTTTCAACAATTTCTGATTTTGTGATTGTTTTTTGCGACATTTAATTTTTTATGTTTCTTTTTCAATTCCCTCACTTTTACTAAATATTAATGTTCCGAAAACATAAAAACTTAGGCAACAAATTTTAATTTAACAATAGTCATATGCTAATATAGATCAATTGGGAGTTAATGATAATCTTAAGATATACTTCTATTGCTTATAATTTTCTTAATATTTCCTCATTTTTGATCTCTTTTTGTTTATTTTTTCTTTTCTTTCTTTCATATAACTCCTTGCTATTTTGTTTTTAGGACATGCAAAAAAAACACTTCTCTATCATACGAACCTATACATCTTTTCTATGATAAGGACTAGAGATCTGAAAATTTAGAGTAATACTTGTCTAGCTATAAGGGATTATACATTCAGTTTTTTAGCATTCTTGGATTTGTAATAAGGGAGAACGAGCGATTTTTCCAAGCACAACCAAAACTTTTGCATCTCCCCGTATATATTATCCCATTTATAATTGCTATCAACTGGTAAAACTAAAAGATGACGTACTAGTTTTTGGTTCTTCAAATGAATGTGGGTTTGGATGCGAGTGGGGGTCTGAATGTTGGAATAGATATTACGATCTAGAGCTTCTCTAAGCCCACTCCCACACCCACACCCTAGTTTAGGACCCTTCAATACAGCCACATTCAAAAAGAATTACATATTCGAAATCAACATTCAATTCTGAGCAAGAAATTTTTCAAATAAAAGATTATTTGAGAAATAGCTTCAATAAATGTCTTCAAACTAATTGATTGTGTGTGATTAAGTATAACTATGAGTTCCAATACTTGTTCGAGCAAAAGTTTGATTATCTCTTTCCTATGGAATTTTATCTATCTAAATCAGTACTTTTGATATACTCTAAGTAGTTTAAAACATTGACTATGTAGAGCCCAAGATTTAGTCACACAAAATTTAATATGTTCTCAAGAAAGTTTTTAAAATCCGTTTCACTATGCAAACTCTACTATTTGCTGCCGAACACAACGACAAATTTTGACGCCCCTACATGAATCTATCGATCTAATGGAATGAGAAACAAGTGTTTAGGATGGACTTCAGACAAAACAAGCCTCATGACTGTGCCGCATATGGTTAGTAACTATATAAGTTAGCCAGGAAGAGAAGATCGGATCGTAGTTCATAATACACACATCATAGTTGAATAGCTGTTGTCTTTTTTTACTATACATATATTCCAAAAAAAACCAAAGGAAAGAGATGATTGCTAATCAAGATTATTGCAAGAAATTCGACAATCTTTTTTTCGATAATATTTGCTTCCGCAATGTAATACACAACCGTTGTATCGATATTTTATTCTTCTTTCAAAAATAATACCACATCTGTATAAGATTCTTTTTTAATTTTTATTATTAAAAACAAAACAGAAAAAAATAATTATATAAAGAAAATTTAAATTTTGACTGTATGCTATCTAAATCGCTTATTAACACATTGCTGGAATAGAATAACTGCGCATATATTATGAATTAATTGACTTTTAATACAACATTGCTTTTTATAAAGTCAATAATTTTTTTACTTCTACTGTTTATAATCAATTGTGATTTTAATTGATTTGAGATTTGTATTTTAGAACCATGAGAACCCATGTATTTTGGATCTAAACGAAATTCTCTTATACCAGTTGTTAATGTATTATATTTTAACCATAATAAAATTGGTGATGATATCTTCTGTTTATCACGATATATTTGATAGTCTTCATTAGATTCTTTTAACTTTTGATCGAATTTTGTACATAATTCTTTACCAATTTGTGTTAATCGATCTTTATTGTCTTCTTTATCTTCATCGACTTCCATAGCTAGAACATAAGATTTTTTATCAAGAAAAATCGAATATTGCGGTGATGAATTAGTAAATTCTTGTTCATATTCAGGTAATATTGAATTTAGTATATCACGTAAATCAATTTCAGTTATATGTTCACCTGCAACGGATAAATATTGACCATGTCTAAATGAAGAACATGTAATATTTAGTTTGATATTGATGCATTGGACATAATATATGATCAGTTTTTGAATCAAAAAGAAAAGATCTTTAGTTTTCATTAATGATCATATAATTAGATCATTAAAACAAAGAAAATCGAATTTACTTTTCGGAGTCAATTAGATATCTAACCAAGAAAAAGAGAAATTCAATCAAGTAGATAATAAAATAAATACAATTATGTTTTTCATTAATGTTTTAACTTAACAAACAATTCTGATAATAAATAAATATCGAACTGTAACCTTTCACCGAAGCGTATTCGACACTTTGTGGGGTTTTTCGAGAATGAATCATCTAAGAAAGCCAGGAACTCTGTAGGCAGATAGATCTTAATGAACAGTACGTAGTTTCATCATAAGCTCGAATTGTTAAATTCTTCTCTGAAGGCTGTCAGAGAAATATCTGCACGGATAACATGCATAACACGACATTATTGATATACAGTTTACATGAGGGAAGTCGATATTGATATCTCTATACTTCAACATTTCTGTTAGATCGTGCTTCACAGAACAAATATTGAGGTCGCAGTGGTTAAAAAAGTTACTCGTCTTCTCTTCTTTTCTTAGTCGGAGTATTTATCTTAGAACTAAACAATTTTTTTCAGATACTACACATTGTTTGAACTGTTTCTTTTTTTAGTTTCCTTTTATCGCCTTCTGTTCGAAATAATAATCAGAATACCGAAGATTTATTCGAAAATAAATACTTTTCCGCGAGAGATTTTCTTCTAAACAGTGATATATCATATTATAAAAAAAAGAGTAAGTGAAGGATCCTAGACACACTCCAGTATTAGAAGAAGTATCAATTTGATTGGAGGTACTATGTTCGAGAAACTGGAGAGATTCTGTTTTTTTTTGTCAAAAACTCATTTTTCATGCAAAACAAAATCATAGTTCGTGAAATGTCTCCAGTAGATAAAGAAAACATCGAAGCTTATACTGAAATGACAGTGTTAAAAACGATAAAATCAAACAATTTTGAATTGATAGTCGAGTTTTTCTTCAGACATTATTCATCAAAACGTGGAAATGATGAATTTTCGATAGAAGATTTCCTTGTCTATGTATTAGTAAAAACAATTCAATTTATTTCTCACTATTAACAAATGATTCTTTTATAAATTGTCAATAAAAACGAATAGTAGTATTTCATAGTTGTAGTTTGTGTATGTTTGAGAGAAACAAACAAACCTTCCAATCAGTTGCCATGTTGGCAATGAATAATAGTGTCCCGTTATTTTAATAATATCTTCTGTTCTATAACGATATAAACCATCATATGTTGTTAATAAAACTTCATAATATTTGTCCTCTATAAAATTAATAAATTTCTCAGATATAAATAGAAATTCATAGTCTTACTTTCAACTTGATGTAATTCAAATGACTCTGATGGCTGCTTATCATCATCATCGTCATCATCATCATCATCATCTTTCAGCTCAATAAATTCATAATAAACAGAACGTGGTAATGGTATTAAATCATATGAATTTTGTTTTAATGGTATTGCAATACGATGATGTTCACTCATACCATAAACATATGGAAATATTGGTATATCAGGATTCCAATAGGTCGATAATAATTTTAATTCAAATTGTCGAATACTTTGACTTATTATACATATTCCACATTTTAAATTAGGCCAGAAACGTGTGTTAACATGATGAAAACCATTTTCATCAACAATTTTACGTAATTCTTGTGCACGACTTGGATTTGGTGATAAATGATATTCTGTTGATTCTAAGGCAAGACGTACATCAATTGATAACGGTAATGATAATGATTCATCGGCTGGTATTGTACCCTTAAAGAATAAATGAAATAAATAATGTCGGTTTCAACAATGTTAGAATATTGATACAAGAAAGTTTCTAATTTTTATAAATTTCAACATTGTTTAAGGTAGACAAATGTGATTTAAATGAATTCATAGTTTGCAATATTTTTAGTTTTATAGGAAGCATATTTTTTCTTATAGGCTACCGATATTTAAGTCAAAAGTTATGATAAAAAACAAGCAGTCATAAGAAAATTGTAAACCTGATGAAAAAAAGATTCTCCAAGCGTTTATCGCTGATCGGAACTCATCTGTGAGACTAGAAGAACTCGAAAAGGATTCATTTTCATATACAACCTTTCTGACGATGTGGCTATTTTATTGGTTTTCCTATCTGTGACCAAATATTAGCAGCAAAGTAGAATGAAGGAATATGGACTGGAAGCTTTGCTCATAAACAGAACTCACAGCCAATAAATCATCTTGAAAGTTTCAGTCAATATGAACAATCCCTTCCAGAGCTATTGAATAAGAAAAAATTTCAATTTTAATAGAAATACGAGAAAATCCCATTATTCTCAGCATTCAATATCTCTAGCAGAGCTTATGCGTTCTGATTGAAAATTTCCGGAGCATTTATTGGTGATGAGTTTTGTCTATAGACAGAATTTCAAGTCAATATTCCTTCATTCTATTATTTTGTCAATACCTAGTCAGTGTTAAAAAAACAACAGTAAAATATCCATAGGCCCAGAAAAACTCTTGATGAAAGTGAATCCTTTTAGGGTTCTTCTGGTTTTACCGTACCCTACATATAAACGAAAGATCAATCAGATTAGCGACCTTCCGTCTTGAGTGGGAGATAATTTTGTACTGTTAAGTTCGAATTTTCACTAGTAGATAGAGCAATGTTGGAGACATCTATCTGTGTAACATTTATTAAGTTCGGACGCATTATTAATGGATGCTTTCAGATGGATAGATTTTTCGTCGGCTATGTGTACACCTTTGAGCAACAACCTAGGCTCAATTTACATCAAAATCTAGTTCGAAGAGTGTTTTATTTTCTTTATAATTGTTCGATCTTTTCATCATGACAATCTTATGGAAAATATAACTGTCTTGAAACTGAATTGTAGTGTAAATGGAGTCTACGCCGTACCTCACAGTTGTAACAATGAACAATAAAAATATATGTATTTGCAATTATCCATTAGTACTCGATAGCTACAAACAATTGAAAACTATTCTAAAAATGTTAGTTGACATTTTATAAAATAGTGAGAACATATTTTTTTTTAAGACACAAATCGTATTATTGCATACCAGTTCAATATGTTTGCAAATTAAATCAAATTTTTGCTCGATAAATGTAAAAAAATGTACTATTGCCATAATAAATGTTGACGATATAAATTCTAAATCTTTAGATTGTAATGACCATATTGATATCAATAAAAATAAATCATTTTGATGTGCTATTTCATTTAATATAATTGGTGGTACAATATTTTGATTAAATTTTAATATTGTTTCAATATTTTGTTTTTCACGTGCTGCAATTGCTGTTATGGCACTCTTTTTATATTTTTTTAAATTATCTTTGGTTACATGTGTCTCATATTTTAAACTGTTTAATGATATTGATTTACAACCATTGAAAAAATTGAATGGTATGGTTTTTGTTAACATATAAGATATAGCATATGCTTCATTGATATCAAGAAAATAACTAATATATTTATTAAATAAAAATGCTGATAAGAAAAGATTCTGTGGAAAAAGATGCAAATCTTTGAACACATCTGAAGTTCTTATTCAAAAACAAGCTTTATGGATTTGAAGGTCAAGAAGATTATTTTGAATTTGAAAAGCATTACAAAAATCATAGACAAAATGAATTCTGTCAAAAAATTACCTTTGTCGGTTTTTGTAATATTTTTAAAGGAAGATTATAGAAAATGCCACACTGTCTCATTTCGTTCAGAATTTTATGCTCTTTAAAGTAGTATTGTTAAAAAATAGCTTCTACCATTATATGGATACTTGTTCAGTACGAGAGATGTTTAAATATAAAATATGATAAATAAATAGAAACCTTCGTACTACCAAAAAATGTCATAAAACAACAAGAGTATAATATTTTCGTCATAAGTTAATGAAATGTGACGATGATTTAATGAAAGTGGATAATCTTTATACATATCTAGCCCACTTTTAATATCACAATAGTGATAATGAAATGCACTATTCATAATTCATTACAATCTCTATCATTCTTTGCGAGTTAGTATGGCATCCCTCAGCATTCTTCGAAGTATGTTTTGTTTTTATAGTGAGTCGATGATCTATTACGTTTAATCTACATGATGCAACTACCAAAATATATGACAACGATATCAAGATATCTTTTCTCATAATTTTTTTTTGTTAGTCTGATAGTTGTTATTTATTTTTCTTGCATACTCACTGCAATAAATTGCAATTAGTATCTTTCATCATCGACATGTGTTAACAGTAGATAAGAATTCATAAACTGAAACATATATTAATTAATCTCCTCTTTTACAGTACCAACAGCTTCATTATGTTTTACATTGTAACCTCCTAGAGATTTATACTAACAATTTTTTTATGTTCAAGCATTTCTCGTATAAAACAAGCATACAATCATATTAAATTAACTTTATGTGATTTTAATATAGGACCTAAAAAAATAATGCGAAATTTTTGCCATCACCTGTAGATGATTTTGTTCTGCAATATATATCTATTCCTTTAGTATATTGTACTCAATAGCTTACACTGGAAAATGTTTTGGATCTCCACTTGTTCCACTTGTATTTGTTAATGCAATTGGATAGTCAATACTCATAATATTTGTTGAATGACCATCATTCATAATTTCAGTAACATAAGATCTATAATCCGAATATGTTGTATATTTTGGAAATAATTTTCTAGAAGAAAATATTAAGATAAAAGATAAATACTTGTTTAAATAAAATTTCATACTTGAAATCTTCAATACTTTTTATATCTTGATCTTTATTAAAATTAACTTTTTGACGTTGATCAATTAAAAATTTTGTATTTTTATTTTTTTTTAATATATTAAATAATGTTTTACGATTTGTTTGATGTTTAATTGCATATTTTCCATCATAATTAAAACGAATACCTTTATATTGAATTAACAAATATTGAAATATTAATAGACATTTATCCAGAAACCATGACCACAGCCACATTTCTATGAATATTAAATGTTTGTTTTGTCTTATTTTCTAGAAAACTCTGAAAATAAATTTGTTTTTTTCTTGATTAATATCGATCAGAAGTGAGAAAAAGGAAATTGTAGTTTTGCACACAAACAGTTATCAAATGTACTCTTGACGAAACCGTACTGTATGCAGCTCGCATATAAATGGCACATGATTATTATCTACATAGATGATCTTAGCTTTCTTGAAAAGAAGAAGGTCAATAAGGACACTCTTATTTACATGAAAAACGATAATTATCAGCATACATGGTTCGATTTAGCTCTGTTATTCTTCTTGGAAGGGCAAAAGTCAATTAGAACTCAGTTGGTTTTTTTTCTCAACATTTTTGAAAAATAAATATTGTGAAAATATATTGACTATGAGTCCGTTCATTCATTTTACTTTGATATTAAGTTTTTTTTTTTGCACAGATACTTCCTTACATCTCACTTGAAAGCATATCTGTTTGTCATTTTCGACTATAAAACATGTAATAGAACATTGTTGACTTTACTGATTAAGACTATGATCTTAGTTTTGCTTGAACAGTTTTACTAGGTAAACAGAACAAATTTTCAAGAAATTTTATTCTATGTGAAGAACAAAGTCTTTTCACTTATTTTTCAGTATCTATCACAGTTGTAAATAACGTGGTAAACGTTTAATCAACCGCATTCGAACTGACCTACGCGAGCACAAAAATAAATCTAAAAAAAGACAATGACAACCGTAACAAGCGTAGTTGACTCGAGATTTATGCGTATCAAGAATATTACTGGAACAGTAACAAAAATGAAAAAGAGCAAATAATATGGAAGCAATTTTTAAGCTGTTAGATTGCACTCTGTAACCTTTATCTGTGCATTGATGCAAAAATGACGATATTTTCATGTATGAAATACTAGACAAAACTAGGTTATCATAGTAAATTCTAGTCTATCGATGTATATTGCTTGCTTGGAAATAATAATAAATGCTTCATATCTCACATTGATATCTTCCAAAAGTTATAGAGACAAATGCAAATTTTTATACTCTATTCAATAGTATCTTTGAACAAAAAAAGAATTCTGCTCATTTCTGTTAAAAGACTCATTCCATGGAAAAAAAAGAGGCATCTATTTTTCAAGCCAGTTTTGCAAAGTATTGGTATTCTATGAGTATTATTTATCATATGACTTCCCGCAATTAATAAAAATAATAAAACAAGGAAAAATCTAATTTTATATGCTTTTGTGATAGATGTCCGTTTATTTTAGACGATCTCTGTTCTTCTATTTATCCTTTTTTTTTGATTTACGTCATGTCATTCCAAATGATGAAGGATCTCAATTAACAAAAGCTAATATTGATCCAATAAAAAGTACATTTACCGTTTGCAACAGAAAATCAAAGACATTCATTTTTTTTATAGGTCATAATGATATGATATGATTCAAATCGTAAAACGAAAAAGTTCATTCGATCAAGGAATAGGTAGTCACTGTAACTAAGAAGAAAAATGATTTTTAAAATCGCATAATAAAACTTCTTGATTCTTATCTGTTACAGCATGAATAAATCTTCCGTCTATGAAGAAATAAAGCACAAAATTGGATGAGCAGACAGAAATTTCAGTTCATTGATCTTATGCGATGAGAATAGTTCGCTTCATTTCGAAAACAGACCATGTAGATAGACGAAACTTTTCAAATCCTGACATGTTCCCTAACTTATCAATGCAACTGTCTCTAATCAAATATAATACAAGAGATTCTTCGATTAAAGAAAAGATTATATATAGAATATCAATCATTTCATGCTTCTGTTTTGTGACTTATGATAGAAGCTTCATACTGATCAGCAACCGAATTCCATAGAAAATATTCATGTCTAGTATTTGACTCTATGAATTATTTTCTTGAGCTTGGCTAAGTGCATTCGAAAATATCGATTTCATATTCTGATAGGACATACTTAAAAGGATATAATCACACAAATTTCTCGAAGCATAAACATGTGTTTAGCTTGCTAAAACGATCGAGAAAAAAACAACGGAAAGTAACCGATTTTCTCGAGGCATTTCGAGTAGTGATGAATACCATTCGAAGGTGTCACACAAAAGAAAGGAAACTATGATAATTTTTTTTTCATTAACGAAGGAACTACATCTATTCTCTTTCTCGCAAAATATCGATGCATTCATAAGGAAACCAATGACATGTAAATAACATTGCAAAATTATTCTCATTGAAAGCATGGCTGAATCACTTCATATAAATAATCTTAATCCTCGTCTAATTCATAATACTTGTGATCGACCCGATATCACGCTGCAATCAATTAGTGGCTATGAAAAATTGGAACCGGTTCCACTAGAAATCGCTGTGGAATCTATTCAATCGCTCTTTCCTGATCTACTTCAAGACGTTTCCATTGCGAAAGCTGCTACGAAAACACCCACCGATGGTCTCACACCCGATGAATCTGCTGCGATTTATCTTTATACATTAGATATGAAACCACGCAGTTTGTATTTAATTCTTAACGAAATATTATTTTATCGTGATCGTCAAAAATTGAAACCTTGGTGGCCTTATCTCAGATTATTTTTTAATGGTCTCTTCAAAATTTCGTCCTATACGATGAAAATTATCTGGCATGGTGTTAAGGCTGATTTACATACAAAATATGAGACCGGTAAATGCTATATTTGGTGGGCAATCACATCATGTGCTCAATCAATCGATGTACTTCGTCATCCTGCTTATTTGGGTGAAACCGGTGTGAGAACCGTCTTTTCGATTGAATGTCTCAATGCACGACCGATTAGAGCCCATTCATATTATCAACGAGATGAAGAGATCTTACTTTTACCAGGAACATATTTTGAAGTTCTCAGTAATGTCAATACAGGTCATGGTTTACATGTTATTCGTTTACGAGAACGTCCACCACCTTATATTCTATTAGAACCACCATTCTCCACTGTAGGTACAGAGGCGGAAATGTCGAATATTGATCAAATTCTTGAAAAAAATTATGTGATGAACAAGGATAACTCAGAGATGCCAAAATTATTGATAATTCTACCCGATTCATCTTGTCGATGGGAATTAGAAGATGTCTGGAAGAATAGCTTTCTTCTTCATCTTGTTTGTGAATGTTCGGTCAATCATCTCCATTTTGCTCTACATCCTGGTTATTCACTGCCAAATGCTCGAATTTTCTTTCAAATCTATGGATTGTATCTAAAACAGTACATGATTCCGTTGGCTCAATATCTTCTCCGACTAAAAATGGTCAATACAGTACAAGACGCTCGTTTCTGGTCGACTTTTCAAACTGGTCTCAATAAGATGATGGATATTCTCAATCGAGTCGAATCGAGTCCAATCACAGCAGAAGACACATCGAAATTGAAAAATCTTGTCGTGCCAGAATGGACGACGATTGGCAATTTATATAGATCAGTAACAAAGGACATGACTATTCGATGGGTATGTAAGCGTCATTATCCGGCCGATCAATCGCAATTGATTCGTCGTTTGCGAGATATTGAAGGCATATCATTTGATGAACAGGAAAGTGAAATGACCATCAGTGGACGACTAGATCCAACGCAAATGTCACGTTTAACTGCGACTCTGCAACGAGGCTTGCGTATTTACACGCTCAATTATGTCTATCATTCACCACCACTCGATCAATTGAATAAAGCTTTCTGTCGAGCCTCGATTAATACTGTGTGTCATCATGGTTTTCTCTCCGATGACAATGACAAGTCAAATATGGATCGAATTCAAAAATTGTGCAATCAAGTCATCACTTCAAATGTTTTCATACGGCAAGCTAAAGTTACTGATGGAGGTGGTTGGTCACGAAAACGAGCTGGTATCCGAGATGCGTTGAAATCCAACAATAGACTACGTTCTTTTACCTTTAGTGGCTCTATGACCAATCAAGGTATCACAGAGATTATGGCAACATTGAAAACGAATATGGTCTTGACAACATTAAGATTCAAAGATCGACCACTACCACCTCATGGTGCCGAGACTTTTGCCGAATTGATACGATCAAGTGGTACATTGATTTGTTTGACTTTGTCGAATACGATGCTTAAAGATGAAGGTCTTCACGTGATTATCGATGCAGTCTGTGCTAATCCCATCATGCAAACATTAGAATTATCATTCAATCGTCTACATGATAAGAGTAGTTCATATATTGGTTATTTGTTGAAAGTCTGTACGAGTTTACGAAATCTTGACATCAGTTACAACGAGTTCAGTGCTATTGGAGCAAGGCGAATATTTGACAAACTGAAACTTAATCAAACACTCGTACATTTCAATATTGGTCTGAATAATTTAGCTGTAAGAAGTGGAAAACAAACGATGCCATCGAAAGTGCCACCTGTTAATGGTGGTGAATTGATCGGAGCAATGTTAGCAGATAATAATACTCTGATCACCTTGGATATTACTCATGTAAACATGTCGGATTTTGGTGTACAAGGATTGGCTGAAGGTCTACTGAAGAATCGAACATTGACACATTTAAATTTGACATCGAATAAAATTTTCGATGTTCAACGACGAGCGATCTTGGATGCGATGCACAGCAATTATACGTTGTTGAGTCTTGATCTGTCACATAACGATATGGACGATGGCAGTGTCGTACGATTAGGTGAAATGCTTCGAATCAATAAGAAATTACGATATCTAAGAGTGAAAGCATGTCTCATTGAGGATAGTCGAATGTATAGTCTTGTTCGTGCCTTACAAGATCAATTGACATTAACACATCTCGATCTATCAAAAAATAAGATCGGTGATGATGGAGCGATCATGATTGCTGATATTCTTTCAAAGAATAATACATTAATCTATCTGAATATTTCTGAAAATCGTATTACTAATCAAGGTATTCAAACAATTGCCAATGCTCTAGAAATGAATATTACGTTACGCCATTTGGATATTCTTCTTCAGCAAGACAATATCACCGTCTTTGCCATGGTTACCTTTCGATCTATTCGACCAGACTTGGTTGTCAGATAGACAAGATTCAGTTTTCATTTTTTTTTTCTTTGTAAATTCATATCTTTTGAATTAGAGAAGCACTTTTTCCTATCCACGTCGACACAAGATTGCATTGCAAAACACACTCTCACGAAATTTTTGTCAAGAATTTGCCTACTTTTTTTTTCTAGATAAAGCACCTTTGTTTACAAATGAATAAGTCGGCTTTAAAGATTAACTTTCAAAACGAGGATATCGGATCGATACTTCCTAACTTGAAATTCTACTTCAACCAAATAAGTTGAATGAGTATGGATTGGGATTTTATTTTAAAACATTTAAATGAATAAGTCAGGGTTGAGAATTATTACCAGATGTTTTTCTACATCGATTTGTTATTGTGTTGCTATTTGAAAGAAAAAAAAATGACCAGTGAACGAGAGCGTTTTGCTCGTAGTTTATTTAACTAGTGAAACAAGTGAGCCTATTTTTCGCAAGTTTGATTAATTTATTGATATTTTCTATTATTTGCATGAAATACAATAAAATAATTTGAAAAAAACCCTATTCAAGTTTTCTTTTGATTTGTTCTATGTAATTAGTCTGAGAAACATTCACCATTTTTCTAAGTTAGGAAAATACATATGAAAATGTGAGCGAAAATCTATTTTTTTAATAATACTCGATAATTGTCTGATCTTGCCACAATTGATTCTTGTTTCATCTCTTGTAAAATTGTAAGTTACTCTTTTAAGCGTATTATAATCAATATCAATACAAATTTTATTTGATAGAGACGTTTTTGTAGCAGTCAAAAATTGTTCAATACCATCATTATGAGCGATAGAGAGAGGAAGTCGAGTAAGATGACAATATTCAATAATTAGAAATGTTCGATTGTCTTTGTTGCATTGTTGATCATATTTCTCCTTTTGTGGTGATTGATTGTCTACAATTAAGACTTTAAGATATGGAAATGATTAACTAATTCGAATGAAAAACTCGTGTTTAAAAGGACGTTCATCATATAGATAGACTTTCTGAACCAACAAAAATAATCCATCTGGAAAATCATTTGAAAGCTTTGAGAAATAATTCATTGTATACGGTAAAGAATAGATATGACATTGACCTAATTTATCTCTTAAAAAATAATCGACATAAGATATAACTTCACAATGTTCAAAAGATCGTTAAATGTATGTTAGATATGTTCATTTGATGGTAACTCAATTAATTTATCAACATGTATATCAGAACGAATACTAAATACAATATTTTTTTAAACTTTGACATAGAATTGATGATATCATTTTTTAAATTATTTCTATCAATGAATGATGTGTGAACAATTGAAATATTCAATAAAAGTTCTCCAAGATTCGTCATTCTATGTAAAAGTATTATTAGCATTTCATCATAACCAATTACATCTAATTGACACGCTAATGAAAAACATTTTAAATTAAATAATTCGTCCTAGAAAAAAAAATAAGCAATAATCTCGCTATTATTTTTCTTAAAATAAATTTACTTTGTTGATTATCGATAATGGATAACAAAACATATAATGACCATTAACATGAAATGTCGAAAGTGGATTGAAACGACCTTTAAGAAGATAAAAACAATCAAAAATATTTTCAACACTAATATACAGTTGCGTCAAAGTTGAACAGGATAATGTTGAAGGTTTTAAAACGAATATTAGCCGCTTACTAGAATTAATGTACATATGTGAATATTGATTGAATTTGAAATAGACTAAATTAGTGAAGAGAGAAAATATACAATTACATATTCTTTTCATAATATCATTCATTAATATTTCTTCGGGTTTAGTATTAATTGTGATAACAAGTGCTGATAGATGATTTTTGAGATCAACTCTAAAGAAATTTTATGTAAATGTACTGTTAACAAGATTTATTTTCTTATGGATGAATGATCATAATGACTCTGTATTATTTAACTTTTCATATTAGTGAAAGAATCGAAATAGAATAATTTACTATTAAACAAATGCTCAGTTATATCGTGTCGAATATTAAAAAGATCAAGTCCATATAGATTTGGATAATCAGCAGCAAGAAGAAGACGTTTCATAGATAAGATTTCAACGTTGAGCCACTTGATTGTTATGATGAACTTTAGACAAAATTTCTAAACAAAATCGATCAAGTATTGGATCAATCATTGGATCAATTGAACCATCGGATGAACGTCTCAACAATGTTAAATCACTTGTAAAAATTTTGTCACGTGTGATTTTGTCAAGTCGTTTATTAACATCCATTAGAGAATAAATTACTACATTATTATTCATTTTATTAAAGATCAACAAAAGTATTTCATCAGGCAAATCGACAAGGTTAACAAAGCTATTTTCCAAGGTAATCTGCGGTTATAAAACTTTTCTTAATATCTTCTATGTTGACACTCACATATATGTATATATATGGTTTAGTCTGATTTTCTCGCTGCCGTCAGCAATCAAGAGAAAGATCTTTGTTTTTCTTTATAGTCGAAATGTACGAAGAATGAGTGACTGTGTTTCTCATTGACTGACCGAATAATTTTAAAATTCATGAAAAATAATTCAAAAATTGAAAACAAGAACACTTAACGATATTGATATGAGCAGCTCTTCTGCAATGATTCCATTGAAAATTAAATTTTGTCCAATTTACGTATTACTGATCTTGACATTTTTTCATACTAGAATTCGAATCTAAAGAGAGAAGGACGAAGCAGATCAATGAATTTTGATTGTAAGATCAATCAAAATATCTATTTTCAATCATAGAGAAAGGAAAAGAGTCTTTACACGAATAACAAACCATACAAAGCACTGTTTACGGAAATATCGTTGAAATTCAGATTGAATTGTCATGTTGATTGAAACAAAAAAATCGAATTAGTATAATTATGGGTACAAGTTACAATGACATTCATTTAGTACTTTGCTCAGCAAATTAGAAATTATTATCTATAGGAATTGAAATATACGATTGAATAATTGGTAGATATGGTTAGACTGTTACCTCATTGCTATGAAAAAAGAAAACTCCTAAATTCACCATATCCCGAGAATAACAGACATTCAACGAAAAAATCATCAATTATTTCAGTTTCTTTCATGCTTTGAGACAATTTTATAGACGTAAACAAATATATAATTTCTCTACACAAACACACATGCGCTACTTGACGACTCGCATGAATGCTTCACTAATCATCGTTGTATGATATGTCAATGTGCATAGTTTATGCTCTTCAATATTTTTACATTTAGCAAGCAGGTGTGATTTACCTTATTTCTACTTTGTCTTGTGTTACTTGTTAGAAGAGAAACGTTATAATGGATCGAAAGCACTGTATTCAGTCATATCAAAACGATGTGAACAAATGTCGAGTGAAAATTCGTCAATTAACAGTCGACGAAATTGAGCAACGAGCATATGCTGATGTGATAAAGTGGCGTTTCAGCTTCAACACAGCATCGTCTTCTAAGCAAGTTGAACAAATACTCAATGAAGTCGAAGAACATAAACGAGCAGAAGTTAACCGTCTGGCCGATGAACTTCGTGTTTCACTTACTGATTTCCAAAACACTCTCTTAAGTCGTCTTGCTGAGCTCGATACGTTTCTTGCGTCGATGAATCAGCAAGAAAATTCGTCACTCAACCATATAAAATCCGAGCTAACGTCCATCGGTAAAGCAATTGATTCTCTTCGTATGAATATTGTTGTTCACGTAACTGATATTTCAAAAGGAAGATTTTCATCGACTCCACTCGCTCGACATAGTTTGCAATTGACCAAAGTGTTTGATTTTAAAAAGCTAGAATCATCATCGACTTCATCCTCTAGTCTTCTCGCGCCAATTCGAGATTTTGTACGTCGAACATCAGCTTCCGGAGCAAGCCACTACAATACTGAAATTATTGAAAACACGACGAATTTTTGAGCCAAATATTGTTTCTTTTCAATATTGTCTTATTTCGACTTTAAAATAAATCTTTTAAACTTGAACTCATAATCAACTGTAAGCTATGCAGATGCCTCCAACGAGTAAATTTGATTGAATATGAAATTTGTTTCTTTCCTATATCTTTCACATGACGAGCTCTACTCTCTTCTTCAATGATTTGACTGTATTTTACACATTCTTTTAGAACACGATTGATTGATACAACTACGATGTCACACATGAATTGAAATTCAAGGATTTCTGTTATGTACAACAGTTTTCAAAAAACAAAATTACCTTACTTATTTTATTAGTGTACTAAAAAGTTTTATCAATGTCTGTCAGGTAGTCGTCAATCAAGAGTGACATTTGTTCAATTTACAACATGAGAAGATTCCATCAATTCAATAAACTCTTAAAGAGCATGGGTGCGTGTGGATCGGTGGATGTGAGTTTCTCTTACGTCAATCATACCTACGCCCCCGGTCATATCCATCCACCCACTCACACCTACACCACGGCATCATTCTGGTGCTTAACTCACAGAATCTCGTCAGAAATGGGTCATTTACCACCAAACTCAAGTTTAGATCAAATCTAAACTTTTGAAAATCGAATCCCAAGACCTTGGATTTGTTGAATCCCTACAGAAAAACAAAATTACCACTTTTTGTTTGATGCGATGAATTTTAATAAAGGTAATTCTTGGGCCAATTTGCTCAGGATAAGGGTGTGGGTGTGGGTGTGGGTGGGTGTGGGTGTGTGGGTGTGGGTGGGTGTGGGTGGTGTGGGGTGTGGGTGTGGGTGTGTGGCGTGGGTGTGGGCGTGTGTGGATGTGGGGCGTGGGTGTGGGGTGTGGGTGTAGGTGTGGGTATAGGTGTGGGTATAGATGTGGGTGTGGCTGTCAGTATGGGTGTGGGATGTAGGTGTGGATATGGATGTGGGTGTGTGGCTGTCGGTATGGGTGTGGGATGTGGGTGTGGGTGTGTGGGTGAGTGTGTGGCTGTCGATATGGGATGTGGGTGTGGGTGTGTGGGTCAGTGTGTGGCTGTCGGTATGGGTGTGGGATGTGGATGTGGGTGTGGGTGTAGTTCTACCTGAAAGAAGAACTCACAGTTGCACACATCTTTAAAGCCACCCTTACCCTTTGATCTACATAACCCACACACTGGCATATCTCACATCCACAACCCCAGCCACACCCCTTCCATACCCACACATCCACGCACCTACACCATCAACTTACTGATTAGGTCAATGGCTCTGTTCAATAGCCGAATAATTGTATATTTTTTCAGATGTGTTAGTATCAATATCGTTAAAAAGGAAAATAATCGAATGTTTAATGAAGAAAGGGTATGCGATAGTAATCGATTTTTGTTGAATTTATGTAATGGTAAGTTCATAAACTTCTATGAAATCTCGAACAATAAAAGCTAATTGTTTGGTTAACACGTCACCTTTGATAATAACCATTGGTTCAGGCGGAGTTCGATGTACATAATCACCTCGCAAATTAAAACACCACCGTACAGAAACCGATAAGCCATTGTTGTCATAACAAGCATAGATGTATATTCATTTACAATACCGAGAGAGTAAAATATTCGTTAACTGTCTTCATTTGCCACTTCTTCACTTTATTTCAAGTCGACTTTTAGTTTGTTTAAACTAACTAATTCTGATACCATATTTAAAGGTATCCGATTAAAAATTGGATAGATCAAGAACACAGACAATCAGCGAGCTGTAGATTTCGGTAATCGAAGAGAATAAATGGAGACTTTATATTTTCCTATAAATTTTGAGACGAAATTATTTTAAAATGAATAACCTTTGCGAAACAAGAAAAATCTGATAAATTTCATATAATTCGATTGAACAGATACGGAATTTTATTAGCTCATCAATAGGATCTCAGAAAATAATCATTCCGATTATTCCATGAACGATAGATCTCCAACTTTTCTATCTAGGAGGCACATTACGACCTAAATTTCACAAAAATAACAAATCGTATTTATAAATTGTTTTGTGGAAGTAATTGGTTTTAGCATAGTTGCATCTTATATATTATAGGAATGAATAATATTTTCATGTCTCTCTTTCTAGATTGATAAAAATTGCAAATTGCTAGTGTTTTTCATGCTTGATTTATTCAGTTTCTAACCAAATACCTTTATGTCTTTTGCAGTTATTAAATTTTCTTATTAGTTTTGTTTTTCGAACACTGCAAGTGAGAAGAGTATTTAAAGAAACAAACCAATTTCGAACCTAACGTCTTTTTCTCCAGTAGAATAAATAGGCATGATTCATATTTTCATACTGTTTACGATCACAATACTTTCAACAATCTGAGGATTTTCTATGTGATGCAAAAGTAAAATCGCTACCCACATATACAATTGTATATTTTCTTTCACCTGTAAAATACGACTATACTGAGATTCTGAACTTACTTTTTTTTACGTAATGAATTTTTCCATTTTCTCAAATATGCGACTGCTGTATATTCGTCAAAGAATGAGTAGATAGCGATGTTTTGATAATTATTGTTTTTATATTTTTCAATAATAAACGAAAATGAAACTCATCGAATAATCATATGACCCATGCATCATTAGAAAAAAGAAGGAAAGAGTATTTCAAGCGTTAACAACCATCCATGATACATATGCTGGTTTGTTTTGACAGAACGATTGCTATTTGAGAAGAAAATATTATTTTATTCATTGCATAAAATTTTTCAATGGTCTTGACGCCATATTACTATCGTAAATACAGAGTAACTGGAGAAGGGAAGTGAGTAATTGTACAGAGAAAAGCAGTGCGCTTGATTGTAATGGCTATGATTTTTTTTATATAATTTAAAAGGTACCTGATTGATTTCACACCGTATCGATTAAAAAAAACTCGTCAGAATTTTGTGACTATATTTATCTGCAAGGTGTTCTTTGAGCAGTTTTATTTAATTTAACATTTATAACTTGGAATGGTGTGTGATTGTGACTGCGTCTGTGGTTCAGGAGAAGACCGACAGCTACTTCCACATACACGCACGCCACCCACACTCACAGCCCCACACTTTTATGAGCTGCCACTAGTTTTGTACGATACTCTGATGCATGCACAAGTTTTTATTTATATACACAAAGGTAAATGATTGTAACTTGTATACCAGATGTGAATGTCAATAAGATGGCCAGATATGATCGGATTGTATGAGGTTTCTCAGTAAATACCTTGGTTGGATTATCGACTTCAATAGCGTAACAACTTTAATAAACTTCATGAACTACAAGGGCACCAATCGTTTGTATTTACAAATATTGATCGATGTAGATTGCTTGAAA